TACGAACATTTAGAAATAGTCGTGAATGCAGATTTCATTTTTATTTCGCAAAGGACATCGGTAGGGAGGAGGTTTACATAAGGAATCAGATCAAATATCGGTTGAAACTTGTGTTTGAGGTTGTCTCCGAGTTTTTGGAGGTGTTCCCAATCGACCAGGACTTTGATGTGGTCGCGTACGGCTGAGGTCATGTCAATGGGTTTGACATCCTCAAACATGTTGTTGTGCTCAAGCCATGCACGGCGAACTGCACAGACAGCCATGAGTTCCTTCGCCATCGCCATGTGGTCCGCTTTTGTTGTTTTCATTTGTTCGTGGAGTTTGATAAGTGGGGGTTTGGATGGAGGGAGCGGTTCAGGCACTAGCAAGTTATATGACACATGTTTATCTATTACTGTGCAAGCTTTGTGGTCAATTACAATGTGGTTACGAGCGAGCCAAGGTTGGCCGAATATTATGGGTGAACACAAATCTGGCGCTATGAGAGTGCGTACTATGTTTGAGGTCCAACGGGAGTCTAAGCTTGTACAGCATAGGTGTACATATTTGGTCAAGGTACATTGTGAAGTGGTAGAGTCAGAAACTGCGACATCAAAAGTTTCGGGCATGGGCAAGAGGCGATGGCGAAGTTGCAAACAGTTGACGAGCTCGGGGCAGGATGAGATAGCATCCATTATCAATAAGACCCCCAAACCAGAAGAGAAAACTCGACTCCGGGCCATCCATGAGGAAGTCCCAAAGGAAGTGAGGGGTTTTGTAGGGGGCACTCACACGGGTGGAAAGGTCACCGTCGGAGGTCCCAATACTGTCGTTACTGTCCTCAATGTCGGGCAGGACAGCCACGACATGGTTTGCTGGAGTGTTTTCCTTGTTGTCCTTCCCCTTCCCCTTGTGATACACATCAATTGTCTTCTGGGTGGCAGGGACATAGGGGGAGGCGGAAGGGAAGTCGCACATTTTATCGGCTCTGCAGTGATCCGTCTAGAAAGGGAGGCGGCAGCGGCGACAGCCCTGGTTCGCATCCAGCAGCTTCCTTTCCTCTATGGTCAGCGGTGGGCATTTCTTGGTGCCCGTGTTGGCAGAGGAGCTGCCGTTGGTAGGGCCGTCACTGCGGGAGTGCTTGGCTGTGTTATGGCCATCCTGCTGTGCGCCATGCAGCATGCTTGAGCCAATACTCCATCCCTTCGATGGCGGTGTTGAGCTGTCGATGGTGGTATTGAGCTGGGCGAGGATGCGCAGACGGGCGTCGTCAACACGCTTGATCTCAAAAAGCCACAGGGTGAAGGCTTGATCTGCCGCCTTAGCTTTGGAGTCTGCGCAGTAGCTGGCAAGAATGCATCGCAGACTCGAGGTGTGCGCGCAGTTGGACGTTGGTCAGGTGGGAAGCGGTATTGATAAGGAGGGAGTTGTCGGCATGAATGGAGTTGGCGAATGTGTAGAAAGACTCGGCCTGAGCGTGGCAGCGGGCCATCATCGTGATGCAATGATCATCTTCCCAGCTAGGATTGAGGATGAGTGTGCGGACGGCAGTTATGAATTTGGACACCATCCCAGCAATAAGGTCTTTTTTGGTCTCAGGATGGTTTAGCACGTTGGTAATGTGGTGGTCCTGGAAGCAGCTGCTGAGCGCTTTCGTCTGCTTGTCCTCCGCAATGTCTTTCGTGGTCACGTAGTTGCTGAACGCGACCTCGAAGTTGCGGATGATGGACAGGGTGCATTCACCGGCATGGAGGAGTGGGCTTCGACAGTAACAGCCATTGATGAAGTGTGGTTATGAGCAGAAATGGGTGAGGAAGGGGAGAAAGACGAGTCTGAGATTGACGTGGGAGGAGAATGTGCGTAAATGTGAAAAGGCGGGTGTGAGTAATGGGTCCATGCTGGTGATGGGCTTGGCAACAGATGCTGATCAGCTGACAGAGGCAAAACAGACAGGAGCAAACTGGGTGGTGGTGATTTAGATGATCTGGACTCGGTAAGTGACGAAGGGGGAGACAGAGCTGCGAGCTTGCATTCGGCGGCCTGACATCGTGTTTCCAGAGAGTATGGGACGGAAGGTCTACGAGCCAGCATGACGTGGTGTGCGGGAAACGGTCTTTTTCACGATGATGCATGGCACGCTTAGGTTCTAAGAAGAGCTTCAGCAAGGGATATGACGGCAGCACATCGAGCGAGGTGCACGGCGGCTTGGAACTTCAAGACGGTGCTCAAAATTCCCCTCAAAAAGGGTGGTCCACTGCAGGTGGATATTCTCAAAAAAATGGAAGACTGCTCACCAGTTTTCCACAAGATACCAAGATAACAGAGGCCAACAGAGAATAAGACCCGTTCGGGGGTTCCAAGAGCGTAAAAAAGTATACAGGGAAGAGCGAGTGAGTGTATGAGCAAGAGAGACTACTACTAGTAGTAACTATCGGTCATGTGAGCATCGCGGTCACAACGGGTTTACACTTGCTTGTAAGGGGAACCCCCCCTTTACGTGCTTGCTCTGCACAGCCCACAGCCTGCAGGTGCCCCGCACGCCCAGTCCGCATGCCTCCCGATGCCCCCACATTCCTCCCAGTACCTTTGTACGCATCCCAGTACCTCCGGGTAGCTACCCAAACCTCCGAAGCCCCTTCTCCGAACCCGTCAATCTCCGGATATCACTCCCGAGCGACCTCACAGCCCCTGGAGCTCGCCCACATGACTTTCTGGCCTGCGGCTTGCCCCAACACAATCTCTGGAGCTCTCCGCACCATCTTTGGAGCTTCTTAGGTTCGGTGACTCAGACGTCCGGTGATTCGGAGATTCGGCGTTTCGGCGATTCGGAGATTCGGTGGTTCGGCGGTTTGCAGCCACCACCGAACAATCTCCGAAGGAACCATGGAAGCTTCGACCTCAGCCCGCTCTCTCTCATCCCCGCCCCCGCCTCTGCCTCGCCATGGTCTTAATGGATCAAACCCTCTCCAGAGAGTTTACCACTCTCTGTCCCTCTTGGACGATACCTGTGGCCATAAAGGCCAGTCCATGGGCAGGCTCAGTACGTATAACCCTTTGCGTCTGACCCCGCCCAGGTTCACCTCCTCCCCTGGCTGCTGGCCCCGCTCCAGCGAGCTGTTAGCCAGGTTTGCATACTCCGGGTCCTGCGCCGAGGGCCCCCCGGCGGTTCGGCGATTCGGAGGCTCGGAGGTTCGGAGGTTCGCAGCCACCACCGAACTACCCCCGGAACCTCTCACCCAGCTGCATCAGCCCTTCCAACCTAGCGCTCAAGCCCCCCAGCTCCCCGGCTTCCTAGGGGCTGTTGCCACGGCTCTCGGAGCTAGCTCTTGGGGTCCCGGGCCCTCAACCTCGACCCCCAAACCCGGCCACACAACCCCAAAGGCACCTCGGGGTTTCTCGGTGTTTCTGGCCAGTTTCGGAGTCTCGGAACCTCAGCGCTCAGAGCTTCGGCGATCTCGGCGTTCGGCGATTCCCCTCGGCAATTTCGGTGATTCGGAGGTTCACAGCCACAGCCGGACAACCTCCGAAGCCCTCAGCGCTTCGGCGTTCCAGGGGTTTCTAGTGTTCTTGTGCTTTGACGCCGCAGCGCTCCGAAGCCTTGGCGATTTCGGCGGTTCACAGCCACTGCTGAACCTCCGGGGCCCGTGGTGTCTCGGCGTTTCGATGCCTCGGCGTTTCGGAGCTTCGGCGGTTCGGCGTTTCGGAGTTTTGCTGTTTCGTAGCCTCTTGCAGTCCCAGAATCTGCGGCGCCTCAATGTCTCAACATTTCGGAGCTTCAGCACTTCGGAGCTTCGACGTTTCAGTGTTTCGGCATTTCGGAGCTTCGGCGCTTCGGAGTTTCACAGCCTCGCAGCTCCGAACCCTCTGGACGTTGACCCAAACCCCCGAGGTTGCCCCTACGCAGTGTTTCCAGAGTCGTTGGCCTTCACCCTGATCCTCCGGAGCTCTGGCCGGCCTTTCGGCCTTTGAGGCTTAACCTCCGGATCTCGGACCCCTTGGGCCTCGGCCTCTGAGGCCTCTCGGCCCCGCATGCCTTGTACCCCCGGACCGCTTTCCCTCGGGTATGCACCTTACCGCTTGCTGTTCCTTGATGGGTTGTGTTTCACTTGCTGATCCGTGACGCCCACACACGGATCAGCTGATCTCTGTCATGTTCGCGTGCCTGACACATCAGCTACCCTAGTTACGCTCCGGGTATATAGTGACACCTGGGCACGGGGATTCCCCTCTGCCCAGGTGAGTAGATACCCTCCGTCTTGTCATAGCTAGCTCTAAGGATTCCCCTCTGCCCAGCCGCCTTGTGTGAGACGTCCAGAGTGGCCCTTACATTGCTTCCTGGTTCAAAATAACGAGTCAGGGTGTTCAATGTTAAATAGGAAAAGTTTCCTACTTCCTCTCTTCTTGGGAACTAATCAATAAATTAAGCAGGAAATTATACAGAAATGGAGCAGGAGTATATAGGAACTGTCCTTTTCATTTTTGTAAAAATCTGGGCAGAAATGTAGACCGGTTACCGTCTGTCTATGAATTCTGTCGATAGACAGACCGGTCGATCTGAGTTTGAATTCACATGTTAAGCGAGTTACCGCATAAGGTTATTCCGGATTGGACTTTCCGTGCATGCGACATCTGATCCAAACAACAACAACAACATTGAATCAGCTCTATTTCACTCAATCCTGCACATAAAATATTCCTACCACCTCAGTCAGGCCCAGAATAACGAGGCAATCAGTTCTGGCATGAGGCGGAATGAAGGTTGAGTGGCAACAGGAAAACACCGAATAACCAAATGCGGTAAGCCGCTTAACATGTGAATTCAAACTCAGATCGACCAGCCTGTCTATTGACAGGTTTACCTTCATAGACAGGCTGGTTTCGAGCCTAGCAGAAATGCTTACTAGGGAAACAGTAGGAGCCGGAGTAGGAGCAAAGTAGGAGCAACTTTGACTCTTTGAGCGACACTAAATGATTGAAAGCCAAAAGATCTGAACTGCGATCCCTCTTGGACCAGCCAAAAAGGGCCTAACCGGGAATTGAACCCGGGACCTCCTCGATGGTGATTACGTAAGCAATTACTGTTACGTAAACCCTAACAAGGAATCATACTACTAGACCATCAGGCCATTGGTAGACTTCTCCGGCTGGCCACTAAGTTACACCGGAGCAAATAGATTGCAAATGGTCCCTCGTACTTTTTTTTAGCGAAAGATCTTCCAATAGTCAAGCAGTTACTTGCAGTCTTTGGGGTTACATAACGAGTTTGAGAGAGCCAGATCGGCATACGAGTCACAGGTCGGCATACGAGTCACCGTATTCATGTGTTTGCATTCAAAAGTACACTTGGTTTGACAATACTATTTAAATCTCGTCAAAATATTGCGCAGAGGAACAGGCATGCGGCTCTTCTGTATCGGCGTCCCAGCAATCGATGCACGGCTCAGTACGTTCTCGTCAAGTTTGCTGGCCGGTGCAGGTTGTTGGTTCGACGAGCTGCCCTTGTTTTCCTTCGCAACATTCGAGCTAGCAAACACGCGTCCGAGCGAGTGGCGGCCTCCAGTCGCTGATTTCTTAGGTGGACTTGCCGTGGATGCAGTACAAGGTCCACTAGCGGGAGGCGAAGTCAAGTGACAGAAAGCTGCAGGGGTGGTCGCTCTTCTCTGATTCGGAGGTCGAACACGAGTCGGCGCAAGCTTGGGAGGAGGCGACCGAAGCGGGTCATGAAGTGCAGAGCGCACTGTGTGGGACTTGGGCCTGCGAGGAACCGGCTGCTTCTTGGGGGGACTTGACGACCTGAGCGATCGACGTACTGGTGTTTCTGGAATTTCGATAGAATCCGGACGGTCGTTTGGTAAAGAGGCGAAGCGGACACTCTTGGAACTCTTCAGAATACTCCGAATCCTTCCGCTCTGGATTGCGGGACAGGGCGGTAGCGGGGTCGACGGAGGCGCGTTTGGGTTTAAAGATTCGCGGCGCTGCTGAGATGAAGAATTGTCTGTGAGCGATTCTTCTGCATAGTCTGTCAGACCCGCGAGAAGAGGTTTCTTGACAGCATCCGAGTCGCACCGTGGGCTGGAGGTATCCAGAAGGCCATCTGCAAATGCCCATTCATCGTCTTCTGTCGTGAATGTAGCATCCTCCACGACCGCATTGAGTGGATTTCCACAGTCGATCGAGGCGCGCAGACTTGTAAGCATTTGTTGCAGATCCATTGAAGAGCGATTAGGATCCGATGCGAATTCAAACTTGGGGGAATAAGTCGATGGAGAACCAAGGAATGCAGTGGGCATGCTAGGATACTGATTCTCTTCGGGAAGCTGCTTTGTTGGCACTGGCGGAAGCATTTTCATGCCCCTGCGAGCCGCGAGAGGAAGAGGAGCTTCGATAACTAGTTTTCCGGAAGATTCAAGCGAGACCGGCAGAGAGAAATGAGAATTTGAAACGATTAGGGAAGGTGGCGGCGGTAGATCTGAAGTCACTTCCTCTTGTTTCTTGAAAAACGAATTGAGACTCTGCAGCTCAGAAATCATTGCTACAACATCCGGATCCATTGAGTTTGTCGCAGCCTGTAGAGAGACACGACTGGATTTACTGCCAGAGTTCAATATAATCTCGCGCTCAAATACCAGTGCATTTCGATTGATGGATCTTTGGCACGTGTCCGGAACTCTCTTCACGGAAATAGCTGGAGCCGAGTCTGTTTGCGTTGCACGAGGAGCCTTCCTGCGCCGGGCGAAAGCCAATTTTGCCTTGAATGCCTGTGGAGAGTAGATGGACCCTTCAGATTTCCAATCAACGAGCTCAGCATTGCCAATGCCACCCCACGGAGTGTGGTTAGACGCATCAGAGTCGATGCCACTCTGTAGGGTTGTTAGCAACACGAAAGCCACGTGCAAGCGCGCGAATGTACCAGCCACGTCTCGATAAGCAGCTTTTCTTTCAGCATTGTCCGAAGACGCGGAGGAGTTGGCGAGGTGAGTGTCGCCTTGGAGACCTTGCGCAGAGAAACATCTTCGTGGTGTCCGATAATTGTGGATAGGGGGACCATGCAGCCTGCGGGAATGGGTGGGGTAGACGATGTAGCTGATGAGAGCGAAGAGAGCGTGAGAGATTCTGACAGTAGTGAATCATCGAAGGCGTAGTGACTGAGATCGAGGGATGCGGCTGAAGAGAGCATCGTGGTTTAGTCTGAAGAGCGGCTGACCGTGGTGGGACACGTGACTAGTAACGACAACGTCTAAGCACAAACTTCCATCTTGCATGTTTAAAAAGAACGCAGCACCCACGTCTAAGGATATCGAGGAGCCAATTTGCTCTGAACGTGCTTGCTCTTCCAACGTATTGTTTGCCAGTTAAATAATCCTGAAGGGAATCTGTGCAGCGCTGCTTAATAGACGACCAGGGAAATAGAACCAATTCGTGCAACGTGGAACCTGCAATACGCTTGTGCCATAAGGCGTTGTTAGTTGGCGAATCTTGGAGAACTTCTTGTAAGTACACCGTGCATGATCAATAAAAAACTTTACATATGTAACTTACGTACGTAAGAAGTTTGCGCGCTCAATTTCTAACAGCAGCAACTCTTGACTTTCACCCGCCCCCACCCTCGACTTTCGTTTACACTATATCGCCCCAACTGTTTTCCTGTTTTTGAGATAGCGTTTCCAGAGGGTGTCCAGAGGTGAGTTGCACGACGATACGAGATACGAAGGATGAGATTCGAGACATTTGCACGTCAGTCGGAATGGCGAGCGCTTGCGCTCGCCAGAGATGATGCCAACTTCGCCTTGACTGACTTTTTTTCTCTCCGTTCGAGTTTTCTTCATCGCTGACAAATTAACCAGCAAGACACACCTTGGGCACTGGTGCAGACGTGTCGGCTTTTTTGTGCACGGTGCTAGTCCTGGCCCATGTCCTCTGGGTCAGCGTTATCCCCAACCGTTAATGGAACATCAGCGGTTCCTCTCGTCCCCACCAATACTGTCACCACCGCGTCCGGTTTGACGGTGCGGACGCGTATCGACCCCGTCCTCACCGTCGATGATGTCGTGAGACAACTATGTCTGAACCTCAAGATCAAAGAGCCGCCATCCAATTTCGCTCTCCGGGATGAGATGGACGAGTTGGTGACGAACGACAATTTAAGGAAAAAAATCAAGGCCAAGGTTAATCTCAAGTGCGTTCGTGATATTCTTATGAATCTGTGCTTGAGCTACATCTCACGGTAGGCTCGTCAATGCGCCCTCTCGCGAGGCAATGGAAGCAGCTGAAAAGCTGAGACTCCGGGATGACTCGAACACGCTCAAGATGACTTTATTCACCTTGCAGAAGTACATTCGGGTAGGGTGCTAGCTATACTCCAAGTCGACCGGCTGACTTTTGGAAAATTTAGGAGGAACAGTTTGCACAGTCGTTCATCAACTGCTCTGGCCTTTCTGACCTCATTGCTGTCATCTTCGGCGCGCACGGAAATACTCTTGCTGTGCGGATTTCCTTCTCGGCGGATGGGCTTGTTTTAACAGCTTCTCTAGTATGCGCTGACCGCCATGCAGAATTTGATGGAGCTCGATTATGGCTGGGCATCGCTCGACGATGCATTCATCCTTCAAGTCGTTCAAATCCTCTCTTCCCCTCAATCTTTAATCAACGTGTGCCGTCCTGCCACTGCGATTCTTAAGAAACTTGTCGAGGCAGATCCGATGAGCGCGCCGGGGCTTCAACTTGCAAGCTCCAGTCGAGGAGTTCCGAGCCTTCCTCCAGGGTCGGTTTACCGATATGGGTTTTCTGTTGTATTCGAGCAGATGCGGAAGGGACGAGGCTTTCTGGAGACCGTCATCAGTCGACTTGGAAGTGCAGATACCGCAATGGCCCAGTATAGGTGTGCAGTGTATTACTAGCGTTTGAACGCAAAACTGACCCGCAGCCAATAGTATGATGTTGATCAACTCGCTCTTGGCTCATGCAAGTGACACTCGATGGGAGGAGTTCATCTCGGAGTTGGAGAGCCTGAACGTGCGGAAGGCGGTTGTGGTGCGCTATCCCTCCGCTTAATTCTACATCGTCTGAAAAACTCTCAGCGGCTCATGTCGTCCCATACAATCGAGGATTTGACGTCCTGCATCCTTGATTTTCAAGCCAATTACATACGGATAATTTATCGCAAGAAGACCACCCTTGTCGATCTCGAGGCAGAGGCCAGTCATGTTGCCGCTCTTAAGGCAATATGGGCCAGCTGTCGTATACCCGAAGCGGTCGATGAGAATGGCCAGGTTTTGAAATGGCGATTATTAGGTTTCGATGCAGAGAACGTTGAACAAGAGTTCAATGATGTCGGGGTGTTGGGTTTGGAGTGTTTGGTTAGTCATTTGACCTCTGCATTAGAATTTCTCATTCTCGATTGCCAGAGGAAATTCGTCGAGATGGATCCCGACTTTTCCAAGGTGGGTCTGTGCAAAGTGATTTCGCGGATTGGCCTAAATTCTTTTTGGAGATCATCCAAGAGCAGCTAAGTCGACCGCCTGCACGGCGATGTCCTGTTGGCAAGGCGTCCAACGAAGTCGTAGACATGCTGTCGGAGCACTGGGAAATCTTTGCGCCAGGATGTATATCGACCGTCACTTATCCCCATACCTTAAACCTGACATATTCCCACAGATTCAACGTCCACCACTTTCCAGCCATTCTTCCTGGACTTTTACAAAGTTCATTCTCTTGCAACACATTTTTTTATACGTATGTGGAGTGAGAGTGGGGCGGCATCAGGCGATTTTACCCGAGTAGCCGCTCTCCTTCGCAGCCAGTTTGTTTGTTTTGCTGTTTATAATGCTCCTTTTTTGACACTCTGCAGGGCGAAAGTTGCATTGCGTAGCGAGAACGTGCGATCTTGGCACGAGGTAGAGCATGATTTCAATGAGTGCGAATACCGCAGTGTTCGGGAAAGACAGATGAAGGAGCTGGAACTGGAAGATGATCTACTGAGTAAGATCCCAATCCGGTGCGCAACTTGATTTGTACAGCTTGGCAATCATCGTGACCCCAAAGTTGCTCAGCAACCTTCGTGCTAAATTGTATAAAGAGTCCTATGAATTCGTTCGCCAGCAAAGAATACAATGTCTAATGCAAGGTG